TAATTACTACTTGTAATAATAATTACTACTTGTAATAATAATTACTACTTGTAATAATAATTACTACTTGTAATAATAATTACTACTTGTAATAATGATTACTACTTGTAATAATAATTATTACTAGTAATAATAATTACTACATATAATAAAATATTACTACATGTAATAATATTTACTACATGTAGTAAATATTATTGCAATTACTACTTTTTGTAATAAATAATTACTACATTACTACATATTACAATTTGAATTACAGCGCTATGCTTTAAGATTTGCTATGAAAAGATGTTATAAGAAATTTTAGTAAATTATCAAAATTCAAAAATGCAAAAGTGGATGACCTCTATTTTGAAATCTCTGAAGGTAATAAAGAAAATCTTGAGGACGAGTTTCAATTTAATGAGCTCGTGGATCGGATTGAAGAAAAAGAGAAAAGACGAGTTCTTCCCAACCTTAAAGTCCAAATTAAAGGTATGTTTTTATATCTTGACCTGGTACGAAGAATGGTGTAAATATCCTAATTCAAACTCAATTAATAGATAAAAAACCTTATAATGAATGGGACATCAGAGATATATTCACAAATGTTTTGCATCGAGATTATAATGGATCACTTGGCCAAGCATTTAATTTAGATGAACTCCCAAATTATAATTCAATTACCATAGAGGAGATGAAATTCTTTGTTGAAGAGATCAAAAAAATGATGAAAGTATTCAAAAATAATATCAATGTTAATGAAGCAACTGTTCGGGAATATATATCTATTTTCATGAAAACTGTAGTTAATCACATTCAAACGTTTACGAACAATTCAGCACAATTATACGTAGAAGCTAATCTTTATGGATCTAAAGGGTATGGTTCCATTGACTATTTAGTGAAACTTGACGATTTTGTGGTGCTAGTCAATGAGGCCAAATCGGAAGATTTAACTAAGGGAATAGCCCAAAACATTATGCAATTGTACAGTGCATCAGAGGTAATTTCACTATTTTTGTATTTATTTATTGTGCTTAGAGTATACCTAACTATCAATGAATATTTTCAGAGTTTATTAGACAAGCGTAAGTTAGAACAAACGGAATTTGA